GCATATTCGCGCATATTTTTCAAGTCCTAGAACCTTTCAGTTGATGACATATTTTTGATGTCCTTACCTTAACGCCACCTTTATTACCAATTTCTTTACTATTTTATATTGAGAATTGATATGGTTACATTTAATGTAACACCTACACCTTATAATAATACGGTTTTGCTTTTTAAAGTGCTTAATTATTATTTTTTTCTTTATTCTTCAACAAACAATACTTGGGCCATGTTTTATTATGTCTGGTGTAAGCATACGGTGTCATTTTTTGGGTGTAAACATAGCATCCCTCTTTATATTTACACGACAAATAAACTGATTTCACCTTTTGCCTCGGTCCAATTAAAACCATAGTAAATTTTACTTTATTTTATTTATATTGTCCATATCCATTAAATAGCATACAAGAAAAATACTTGTTTAATATTTTAAAAGTTTATTATGTATTTCTATGTTCTATGTCTACTAATTACCCTTTTGAGAATGAAATGCACCTTAACTAAAATTTAAAAAATAAGTCAGTCCTTAAGATGACGTAACATACAACCTTAGATTCAGTCATTACCAATTAAAAATTGCCACATCATTGAACTTAAAAATAAAAGAAAAGTAGTTTTCAAAATCTAAAAATGAAAGAAAAATAGGATAAAAGAATAATTAAATATCTTTTTTCTACTTAACTTTTATTTTATTTTTTTGTCTCTTAAGAAAGATAATACTTTTTCATTTCTTAAAAAATTTTACATGTAGTTTTTCCACTTGTTGAAACAAAATATATTTTATTCTTTAAAATTTTAAATAATATTTATATACACAAAAAATGAATGATTTTTTAGGCTTGTTTATAACAAAATATAAATCTAGAAATTAATTTTATGCTTATATTTTTCTGAAGTTTTTCTTATATAACTGTTAAATATAACTAAAAAATCATTAAAAATGCATATAAACTTAATTTAAAATAAAAAATTCTTGCAGAAAAAATTTGGTTGGATCAGAAATATACAACTTTTTGTATGAAAAAAAATGAAATTAGATCATTTAAATTTTTATAGGGAAGAAAATATATTACTATTACCCTAAACTAAATGTTCTTTTCTCTCTTTTTTTGCTTCATACTGACAGAGGAAGAGATGCAAAGACAACCATGCAGAATTTCAAAAAAAAATTGCCATAATCAATGTAGTACGTTTTGTTTTTAATTTCAATAACAGTAACTGAAGAAACCAAAATAAATGGAATTATTTGCTCTTTATGCCAATGTTTTTTTTAAAACAGACTCATCATGGCTTTGTAATTTGCATGATTTAACCAACAAAGTTTTTCAAACAGAAACTAAACATTGGTTTCCATTTGTTAGCTTTCCTTGTTTACCTGCAACATATGGCTCAAAATGACGGCGGAAATGGCGGCGACGGCAAAAAGTCACAGTCTAAAGATGCAAAACAAGAAGAGCTACCAGTAGCTCATCCAGTGAAAGAACAATTACCTGGTGTTCAATATTGCATAAATAGTCCTCCTCCTTGGCGTTAGTATTTTTTTCATGAAACAAATTATTCAGATGTGTTTTTTCATTAGTACTTTTTGCTTATTATAGCTTTTTAATTTGATTTGTTACTGAAATGCAGCTGAAGCAATTTTGTTGGGGTTCCAACATTACATTCTGACTCTTGGCATGACTGTTTTGATTCCAACTATAGTTGTACCTCAAATGGGTGGAACCAATGTAAGCACCTTTTTGTGTGTTATGTTTTTGGTTTTAACAGTATGAGTTTTGTCAATTAGGTTAAGTTTTTTATTTCAATGTAGGTAGAGAAGGCTAAGATGATTCAGAATATGTTGTTTGTTTCTGGACTAAGCACGTTTCTTCAATCTTTGTTCGGAACACGGTTGCCAACTGTGGTTGGTGGTTCATATACTTATATGATACCTATGATGTCTGTTGTCCAAGCCAGCAGATACAGTTCATACTCAGATCCCTATGAGGTCAATTGTTTTTTTTCATGATCATTTTGTTGTTGTTATGTTCGTTCCCGGTTTAATTTAATTCGTTGCTGATTTGGTCTATATGGTTGATATTATCAGAGATTCACTATGACAGTTAGGGGAATACAAGGTGCCTTGATTATATGTGCATGTTTCCAAATGGTTATAGGATTCTTGGGACTATGGAGAAATGCTGTCAGGTTATGCAACTTTCTTGGCTAGAAACAGATTAAAAACGCGTCTTATGTCTCTGACGTGTCAGTGTCAGTGTCAATGTATATGAGTTTGTTAATAGATTTTTCTCGTGCTTCTTCAGGTTCCTTAGTCCACTTTGTGTTGTTCCTTATGTAACTTTCACTGGACTTGGTCTCTATCATCTTGGTTTGCCTATGGTATATGTTCTTACTTTTGGAATTTTTCATTCAAAGGGCTTATGCTCATGCAATTCAGCTTCTATAAATTTAGTACTTCTAATTTGTTCGGTCACTGTTGCAGCTTGCATCGTGTGTTGAAGTTGGGCTTCCCGCGCTTATTGTTATGGTTTTCATCTCTCAGGCAAGTACACTAATTTTAAATCCAAGATTTTCTGTTTCTTAAATTTTGGTTCTAATTCTAAACGTCTTTATTGTTTTCAATGGTGCTGCAGTATCTTCACCGTTATATAAGTGCCAAGAAGTTTAAATTTGACAGATTTGCAGTGTTGTTTTCCATTGCAAGTGCATGGTTATTTGCACAGCTTCTAACTTCGAGCACTATGTATAACAATAAGCCAGAAAGCACACAAAATAGTTGTCGCACTGATCGTGCTGGTCTTATTACTTCTGCTCCATGGTAAGATTTTCGACACATTACTACGCTTTCTTGATTATCAATAACCTTAATAAATTTTAAGAAGCTTGGTTGCATTATTTATACAGGGTGTATTTTCCGTATCCCTTCCAATGGGGAAGTCCTACCTTCAACTATGGGGATACATTTGCTATGTTAGCAGCATCTTTTGTTTCTCTTTTTGAGGTAAGCACTAGGTCCTTGAAAGAATCTCCGAAATATATTTGGTTTTGAATTTTGAACAATTTTGATATTTGCGCGTAGTCTACTGGTACATTTTATGCTGCGGCTAGATATGGAAGTGCAACGCCCGTGCCACCTTCTGTTATCAGCCGCGGAACTGGCTGGCTGGTAAGGCTCATCTTATTTTGTAATTCTTTATGGAATTATGGACAAAAGTGTATGATTGATTTTCATGTGTCACTCCTTTTGTTATTTTAGGGAGTAGCTTCTTTGCTCAATGGCATGTTTGGTTCTGTAACCGGAAGCGCAGCATCAGTGTAGGTTTACTTATATCTTTTTTTCATAAAATTTTCTTTGCACTGCATTTTCTACATTACGCGCTGCGGTTATTTCAGGGAAAATGCTGGATTATTGGCATTGACAAGAGTGGGAAGCCGAAGAGTCATCCAAATATCAGCCGGTTTTATGATTTTCTTCTCCGTATTTGGTATGATAGACTAACATTTTCTGCACCATTTCATGATTTTATAATCTATGCAACTTGATGTTGTTACTCTCTTTACTTCAGTGATATCTGATGCTGCATACTTTCCCTTTGAATCAGGAAAATTCGGAGCAGTTTTTGCTTCTATACCTTTGCCAATCATAGCAGCATTATACTGTGTATTCTTCGGTTACGTGTGTAAGTTCTCTCTAATGTATTCTCTCTGTCGTTAAGCTTTCCGGTTATGTCACTTTAAGCATATAAAACTTGACATTTGACAAGGATTTATGCTACTCGGCGCTGTGCAGCTTCTGCGGGTCTTGGATTTCTCCAATTCTGCAACCTCAACAGTTTCAGAACCAAATTTGTGTTAGGCTTCTCATTCTTCCTCGGCGTCTCTATACCGCAATATTTCAAAGAATATTATCAAGTAAAACATGAACATGCAGGATGGGTGAGACATACATATATATCTAAAACTAAACCAATTGTTGGAAATATTATGACAAATTACCCTAACATTTCAATGAATTTGCAGTTCAATGATGTATTGATTGTCATATTCGCATCGCACACAATGGTATCTGCATTGGTTGCTTTCATTTTGGATCTCACACTCGCACGGGAAGACGATGCAGCCCGAGACGACAGTGGTTTGAAATGGTGGGAGAAATTCAGTATCTATGGATCTGATGTTAGAAGCAATGAATTCTATGGCTTACCATGCAGACTCAACGAGCTTTTTCCAGCCCTTTAAGCTATCTCTTGGCTATGAATGTTAATTTTTCACAATTTAAGCCAATTCAGCATCTGTAAAAAAAAAGTTGTATCTAGTTTCCATGACAAGTTTTATCTTTCATTGGAAAAAATGTTGGAAAATTGAAATACTTTTCTATGATTATATATTTTAGTTGATTTTACAATATTGTGTTTGTGAAATTGAAAATAATGTTTTACCATCATATATAAAAAGGAGACTTTTCATTTTGGATTATGGAAGAAAAAATTGACCTTCAATTTCTGCCACAAAATATGGCATGATTGGACATGAATGGTAAATACCACCTATTTTTAAGGTTTTTGACTGTCTTTCTTAGAGCCTAAGAAATAGGAATTATGTGTCACATTTAGGTTTATGCCATACCATGCATAATACCCTTTGGTTTGTTTGATTGGTCCCATGCCGGGACACCATCTTCTTCCGGCACCACCTTATCCTCCTATCATCATCTTTTTTTTAAACTATTTTTCTTTCAATTTTATCTCTTTCCTCTTCCCAGCGTTTCGATTTTCAGGCAAGTTCAAATTTCATACGGTTTATTCTTCTGGTGTATGTTTCTTGTGACTCAACTTAGATGCATATATAATGCATTCATTACATTACAACATTGATGATTTATTTATACGTCAATCATTGTTGAGAACTTCTATCGATAATCGGTAATTTGTTGAGAAATGTTATTGAACTTAGCATTTTGAAAAATATTTGTTTATTTATGTTTGTTCCTACATTGCAGAGATGGTACGCGCTGCAAATGAAATATTAATTGCTAAAGAAAATAAGAAGATCCTTAACGGTGAAGAGGGAAGAGCACATACAAAGAAAGAGAAAGGAGTGAAATTATTAAAAAAATCAAAATATCAACTTGTAGATTACAAATCATTGCCAACTTACTTAAAGGACAATGAGTTCATATTGGATTATTATCGATCAGAGTGGCCATTGAAGCAGATTTTCCTCAGCATTTTCTCAATTCATAATGAGACACTTAATGTCTGGACGTAAGTTCAAACACCTTTAACTATCTTAGTGTCTGATACGAGTGATTATGTCTGATGTCCGTGTATATATCGATATCAATGCTTGATAGAAAGTTGTTAAACTTGTCTAAGTGTTGAATAATTACATTAAGTTACTTAATGTGAATGGCATTGTTTCAGGCATTTGATTGGATTCTTCCTTTTTCTCTTTCTCACCATATGCACAGCTATGAAAGCTCCAATGGTTATGGATTCCCTTCAACATTTGCCTGAAATCATAGAAAAAGCTGATTTGAACAAGATTCATGCAGAGTTATTAAAATGCCTGCCTTCACTCCCGAGTATTCCCGATCTTGATAAAGTTAAAAACGAGTTAATGGCATCTCTTCGTTCTCTCGACTTCTCCTCATTATCAGGCTGGAATGTTATGGAACATCTCACCAGTTGCTTGCATGACAAGTTTTCTATAGTAAGTTATCATATTTGATTCTTTTCAAATGTTTTCAAATCGTTAATGTATTTCGGAATATCAAAAGTATATTTGGCTTCTCACAGATGTTACAATGTTGATTACAGAAGGGTTTGAAAGGCGAAAAAATGGACTTTCTATCTCCTTCAATAGTCCAACCGATTACAAGGTGGCCATTTTACGCCTTCTTAGCCGGAGCTATGTTCTGTTTATTAGCCAGCAGCACATGCCATCTCTTAGCTTGTTACTCGCAACGCCTTTCATACATTTTGCTCAGAATCGACTATGCTGGAATTGCTGTATTAATCGCAACTTCTTTTTATCCTCCTGTATATTACTCATTCATATGCAACCCTTTCTTTTGTTACCTCTACTTAGGCTTGATAACATTGATGGGAGTTGCTTCTATTGTTTTCTCTCTTCTCCCGGTCTTCCAAAAATCCGAGTTCAGAAAGTACCGCGCTTCGTTGTTCTTTCTGATGGGATTTTCGGGCGTGGCGCCTATAATGCATAAATTGATATTGTATAGGGATGAACCCGAGGCGCTTCAAACCACAGGCTATGAAGTACTAATGGGAGTTCTTTATGGTTTGGGAGCTGCAATTTATGTCGCGAGGATACCGGAGAGGTGGATGCCGGGAAAGTTTGATATTGCTGGTAATAGCCATCAACTTTTTCATATCTTTGTTGTGGCGGGGGCTTACACGCATTATCTCGACGGGTTAATTTACCTTAGATGGAGAGATTTGAAAGGTTGTTAGGTTTGTAGTGAGTTTGTTTTGTTTTAGGTGCTTAATTGGTTTTATCTTTTGTTGTTCTAAACTTAGATATACCTTGGATGAAAGATGAAAAGAAAGTTTTTGTGTATGTATAGTACAAATCTTCATTGTTTTTGTTTGTGTTAGATTTTGAATTTTTAAGTAAAGAGGTGTGGCTAAGAGAATACATTGATTTTCTGTTGTGCCCTAAGTATGTAGTAAATTACATGTATCCATTTATATATTTATCTGTTTTTGAGAATCTTGTTGTTGGAATTAATCTAAAACTTTGAATAATTCTGAACTAATCTTAATGAATAAGATTTAATCAATTAATTGAAATTTTTTGTTCTTCACTCTTCACTCGAGTGAATCAATCACACATCGATTGTAAGAATGATTCTACGTAACAATTGTTAATAAAAAAAGAAACAAAATTTAATAAGAAAAATGATTTCTGCAGAATAACTCTCTGCTCTCAAACTGAGAAATATTATTCAACTGTGGAGCTGCACTTTCTACTGTGTGTTATAATTCATAATAGGGTTACTCTCTATTTATAATTGAGCTAGCTTGCTCCTTAAGCTAAAGCCCAAAAACACAAAGTACAAATTTTCTATTTTGGTCTAAGTCGAAATCTTGTGTCAGACAACCTACTTCGACACTTTAACATCTATTGCTACTCGACACACACTACAAGTTTTGACACATCCTTGTTTTTGTCGAGCACTAATTGCTTCGACACAAGAAATTACAATCTCAACACACCACCTAATTCATTGTGTCTAAGCTATCTATATTCATCATAACTTTTAGGTTCTTGAAGACTTCGACCTGCACTACCTTTGTCATGATATCTGCAATCTGATTCTCAGTTCTACAGTGTTTTAAGTTCATCTTCTGTTCTTTTACCTGCTCACGAAGATAGTGAAATTTCATTTTGATGTGCTTGCTGTAACACCCATTTTAATTATTTTCAGTTTCCGGTGTTATTTTGTTCTGTGCCGTGTTGTGTGTGAGGATTGAGGAAAGAATGAGGAGCATAATATTAATATTGGATAATTGATAGTAATAATAATAATAATAATTAATAATTAATATTAATATTGATGTTATTATTATTATTATTATTATTATTATTATTATTATTATTATTATTATTATTATTATTATTATTATTATTATTATTATTATTATTACTTTTATTAATATTAATAATTGCGAGGGAAGTGATATTATTTGGATTAATAAGAGGATTGTTGGGACTAAGGGCAACATTGTCATTTTGGTGAGAATTAGAATTGGAAAGAAGAGGAGAACACACGCACGGTGAAGAACACGGTTTGTGCAAGAGGAGAGCTACACGATCAAGAACAACAACTTAGCAAGCGAATTTCGTGTGGATTGAGGAGCTTAATCATCATCAAAGCTTGATTTGAGGTAAGGGGGAATAATCGGTTAAATTTGGTAAATGCATGATTAATCGGTAGAAAGGGGGAAATCCTTAACCCCATAGATTCCTTGATGATTGATGTTGATTGCATGCTGTTATTGTCGTGATTGTTGTGTTGTTTGATGTTTAATTCGTTGCATGTGCTGAAAATGTTAGATGGGATGAGTTTTGGGGTTTTTGAGTAGTTTCAGAGTTATGCCGGAAGTCGATAATTTGAGCAGATGATGCGTTTTATCGGATAGAATCGGGAATAGACCCGTAGCTCAGTTGTAGTATGTTGTTAGTTGTGGGTTTCGATTTAATCGGGCGAAATCGACGTGGGAGGTGACTCTGCAGCGCATAATATTTTTCTGAGTACGCAGGTATTCGCTAGGCGAATGAGGGGCGAGCCTTCGCCAGGCTTCGCCGGGCAAGCTAGCCAGCGAGTGCTGGCAGAAGCTTCTATATGGCTTTGCCAGAGGTTTCGCCAAGCGAATAGCAGCGAGTGTTCACTGCGGGGCTTCGCCAGGCGAATGCGCCAGCGAGCCCGACTGCAGTTTGTGTTTTTGCTGCTGTCTTGTGCTGTTCCTCTGTGGACTTGGACCCTCGTTGGTCATGTGTGATGGGAGGCTTGCTGGAGAGCGGATGCGAGCGTATGTTGGTGGTTGTAGGGCTGTTTGGACGGTGTTTATCGCTAGTGGCATAATCATTGAATTATGCATTATATATGAACCAGTGTGGATGTGTACGTGAGATGTGTGCACCGTGTGTGTGCAGCGTGTGAGATATGAGGATCAACATGATCGTTGCGCCTTGAGTGCGTTGTTTCGGTGTGTTGTGGTGAATGGATCCGTGAGGATCGGTACGCTTATTATGTGTTACATTTGTATGCTGTTATGTGATGTATTGGGTCAGTAGGACCGACATGCCTTATGTGCATTGTATGTGATAAGTTGTGTGGTGAGCGGATCCGTGGGATCGACGCACTGTGTGTGCTGGTTATCTATGTATTTTATGATGTGAATGGACCCGTGAGATCGGTACGCCTTGTGCGTCGTGTATATGTTGTGCGAGGGGTGGATCAATAGGATCGGTGTGCACTTGGTGTGCTAGATGTTTGATGCGTGTGAATATCATTGTGTGCTCCCGTTATGGAGGGTGATGGCCAGTTGTCCATCGACATTAATTGTTGTGCTCCCGTAGTGGAGGGTGATGGCCCAGTGACCATCGGTATTGTTGGTGTGCTCCCGGTGAGGAGGGTGATGGTCATGTGTCCATCGATGTTAATATGGTGTGCTCTCGTAGAGGAGGGTGATGGCCATGTGTCCATCGATGTTGATGAGGTGCTCCCGTAGTGGAGGGTGATGGCCAGGTGTCCATCGGAGATGTGCTCCCGTTGTGGAGGGTGATGGCCAGGTATCCATCGGTATTGTTGTGGTGCTCCCATTGTGGAGGGTTGATGGCCAGTTGCCCATCACTGTGGTGTGCTCCCTGAGTGGAGGGTTGATTGCCAAGTGTCCATCGTTGATATGTGCTCCTGTGAGGAGGGTTGATGGCCCAGTGCCCATCGTGATTGTGAGTCGGTACCGTATGTTATGAGTTGTGTGAGTGCATTTGTTGTGTGATTGTATATTGTGGTTGATGGTGGGACCGTGAGTCCGGATGATATGTATATGAAATAGTATTATTATTGATTTCTGCCTTTTATTTCATGTACTATTATGCCATTATTATTTAATCGTGATTCTCACCCCTTTGTTACTGTTGTGGTTTGTGCTTCTTCGGAAGTACAGACAATCCAGGTGTTTAGCTATTTGGATTGTAGTGTCTCCGTAGGACTGCTCTTATATGTAACACCGGGGCATTTTTGGGAGTGTTCTTGTGTATTTTTGATATGTGTGCCCCCGTGGCGTATCTGATACTGTGTGAGATGTTTGATGTTGATCGGTGATGATGTTATGTATTTTGGGGCAGATGGCCGTTATTGTATATATGATGATGATGATTGATATTGATGATGTATGTACATGATATTTTGTGTTATGGCAGACCATATCTTTTTCCACTGTAATTTTATTAAAAAATTCAGTTAAATTATTTGGAAAAATATTTGTGGAAATTTTGATGTGTATTGTGGCATCCCGTTTGGGAGAGAAACTATGATATGTGTTTTATTTAATTGTTTTATTTTATTTTGGGAATGGGGTGTTACAAGTTAGTATCAGTGCAGGTCGGTCCGTCCAGCCAGTGTAGTGTGTTGAGTCTGTCTATAGGATAGAGTTGCTTGTTTTCTGTTAACCTGGATTGTTGTTGAGCAGAATGGTTGGGAGAAATGACGCTGCGTTGGCTGCGGCGATGCAGGCTATGGCACAAGTGGTGGCCAACCAGAATCTGGCTGCGGGAGCTCAGTTTAGAGACGTGACGCAGTTCCAGAGCAACAAGCCACCAAAGTTTGAAGGTGGAATTCTGGATCCGGTAGCTGCACAGAAATGGCTGGAGGCAATAGAGAAGATCCTCAGAACCATGGGGTGCAGTGACGAGCAGAAGGTGAGGTTCGGTACTCACATGCTTGAGGGGGAGGCCGAGGCTTGGTGGGATAATTGTCGTCAGAGGATGGAAGCTTCGGGGACTCCGATTACTTGGGAGGTGGTTCGGTCTGGATTTCTGGAGAAGTATTTTCCAGAAGATGTTAAAAGTGCTAAAGAGGTGGAATTTTTGGAATTGAAATAGGGCAGTATGTCGGTAGCCGAGTATGCGACTAAGTTTGAGGAGATGGCTCAGTATTGTCCTCATTACAATACTGAGGAAGCTATGAATTTGAAGTGTCTGAAATTTGAGAATGGGCTGAGGCCAGAGACCAAGATGGGGATCGCATGTCAGAAAATCAGGAGCTATCCTGGGTTGGTGAGTAGGAGTCGTATCTATGATAACGATAATCGTGCGAGAATCGCACACTACAAGGCGGCAAGTGATCGTAAGGGTAAACAAAGGTTCGGTGGTACTCCTTACAATGTTCTGACTGGTAAGGGGAAGTTCAAGGGTGCTGTTGATAGGAAGCCCATAGAGGGTAGGGCGTTGACTGGTACGAAGTGTTTCCGGTGCGGTGGCATGGGTCATCGTGCCAATGATTGTCCTCCTAATGCGAAAAAGTGCTTCAAGTGTGGGAAGCCGGGCCATGTGATGGCGGATTGTAGGACTAATATGCCTACTTGTTATAACTGTGGTGAGAAGGGTCACATTAGTACTCATTGTGAGAAGCCAAGGAGGCCTCAGGCGCCTCAGGTGGCAGGTAAAGTATTTGCAGTTGTGGGAACTCAAGCGGAAGACGGTGAACGTTCGATCAAAGGTACTTGTTTTATCAATAACATTCCTTTGACTCCTATGATTGATACGGGTGCAACCCATTCATTTATCTCTGTTGATTGTGTGAAGAGGTTAGGTTTGGTGCCGACTACTCTTGAGCGGCGGATGACTATTGAAACTCCCTCGATTGGTTCAATGACTACTTCGCTAGTGTGTTTGAAGTGTCCACTGACTATCTTTGGCCGAGACTTCGGTGTGGATTTGATCT